TGATCTGTTTTCTGTCTGACCTACGTCTTTTCTCCCCCCCTCCCTATCCATGCGGCTGGATCTCCCCGTCTTTTCAAAATCCTCCGTTTTTCTCTCTGCTATTCCAGGGTTTCCCGCCTTCTGTGCTGTCTCCTGATCTAGTCTCATCACCAACCGGTATGGCGCATGCCGTCGCGAGGATGTGTGGAGTACACATCGAAAGGAGAAGGCTCTTATTAGAATGTCTTCTTCGAGTATTTATACCGGTGTGACCAGTAGCTTCGCAAGCGCAGCGATCCCCTGATGATGGCCACTTCGGCGAGGTGGCCGAAACATGTAGGGACTATCGCCATCCTCGCTTCTTGTTAATCTTTGTATACATTTTTCGGAAGCGAGTCATTATTATGTGCTATGCGCTTGTTTTGTGTCGTGTTTTCTCCATCTCTGACCTTTTCTTCTACATGTAGCTCTACCTTGTATCTGTGTCGTGAGATACCAACGTCTTGAGTTCCTTACCTGCACGCACTTGTTTGAGCCTTGCGCTCAACTGTCGCGGCTGAAGCATTGTCGATTCATTGTCTTTGCGTAGCGCATTAACCACTGCTTGATTCGCGGTGTGGTGGAGGCGCCCGATTACTCGTATGATGCTGCGGAGTTCCCAAGAAGAAGATCGAGACGACACGTGTCCGCGCCTTACTCCTTTCTCCTTCATCTCATACTCTCTCCAGATTGCTTTCCTTCTAATCCTATTCTACCTGGGTTGCGTAGATGAGTTAGGAATCAGTTTGGTTTTCTTTTCTCATCGATCCGTAGGTTCTGTGGGGATTGATGCCCGCGTTTGGAGGATATTTTCTTGTCGCAACTCTGTTTCACTTTCGGGTCTTAGCGTATCTAGGGTCGGGTAGGCTTGTGAGGTTATTGTAGTAAGCCCACGATAAGCAAGGAATAAAGTGAAGCAAGTAGCATGGCGGATGGTGGCTATGGCGGCCAGAGCCGAAATTGTTACAATTGCGGCTTGTATGGCCATTTTGCACGATGGTGCCCGTATCCTCCACGCAACAACAGATACGCAGTTTCTCCGAGAAACGGCGGTTATGGAGCTGTGAGCTCGGGAGCTAATGCGGTCCCGGTCAGGAATGACGGTTTTGTGCAAGGAAGGCCGATCCTCGCACCGCCCCAACCTCCACTTGCGAACGGACAACAGACACCTAGTCAGCACGGGCAGCGATTTGATTCCCCGCCTCCGCCTCCACTACTCCAAGCTCCACCAGCCGCGCCAAGTGCATCCAGTGCTATCGTTCCATATCAGCCTCCCGCGCAAAACGTTGTTATTCCTTATCAACAACCACGTGGCGGTTCTAATGGGAATGGGTTATGGGCCTGGAACAATAGGCCGCGTGACGGAGGTGGAGAAGGGGAGGGATGGATGATATTAAGAGAAATTTGGAATGAAAGGCGGGAGGAAAGGGAGAGAAGACGTGAAGAGGAGGATCGAAGGGTGAGAGAAGAGCAAGCTAGACTGACTCGAGAGGAAGAGCAGAGAAGGTTGGAGCAAGAGGAAAAACGTGAGGCCGATCGTGAAGCTCGTTTGGCGCGTATCCTTCGTGAACAGATGGAGGAAATGGAGGCAAAGAAGAGGGAGGCGTCGACAGATACTAGCAAGAAGAACTGGGATAGAATCAATCCGCCGTCGAAAGAAGGGGATAAGAACAAATCCGGAGAAAGCACGGATAACAAGAAACGTGATCAAGGTACTATGGCCGGTGGATCTGTTAATCCGCAGCAACAAGGAAGTGGTAGATCGCGTGTAGAAAACGCAGCTGCCCCGTTGGACACGGGGCTCATCAGAATGGACATCGATTCGGTTAGGAAGGCGCAAGAGGTGCAAGCGGCAGTGTTCCATCAGATGCTGACATGTCTCGAAGCCATCGGACAGCAGGGTGTTGGTTTGGTTCCCACGACCGCGTCAAGATCGCAGGATCCAGCTGCGAATCCCGGAGTCCCTCCTAGCACCAATCCTCCCGCACCTCCTGCTTATCAAACTGCTCCCCCTCCCCCTCCTTCTTATCAAACCGCTCCCCCTCCTACTTATCAAACTGCTCACCCCCCACCTCCTGCTCAAGCTCCCGCTCCTGCTCCTGCGCCACCCAATCCTCTGGCTCCCCAACCACCTATCCCTCCTCCTCCTCCTCCTCCACCCGTCTAGGTGCCTGTGACTCCGGCTCCAACAAGGGTTGTGCGGAGCGAACCTAGCCACAACGAGTCCGCCACTGAACCTGGTCCGTCGAGAGGCCGATCTGGTCAGGATGATACACCAATAGGGGGAGGCTTCTCTGCCAGGTTGGCTGGGATGTTCGCCTCGGTCGCCGGCAATAACACCAGGAGGTGTACCAGCGGCATCTCCATCAACGAGCCCTCCACTCAAGATTTGGGATTCGACCGCATCAACCGAGGAAAAACGGCAGCGGTTGTCGGGCCTGGGAAGGAGGGGAGAAGGAAGTATGTGGAGGAGTTGACTGAAGTCTTGTTCAACAAGTCCAAGCACAAGCTTGAAGAACTTTGCAAGAAGGACACGATAAAATATGTGAACAAGAAAATTACCTTTGCTGCGCTGGCGCGGCTGCGAGGTATTGACGCTTATGGTGAAGAATGAGAGGAGGACGAATCTGAGCAAGAGTCTCAAGAGGAGAACCCTTCCTAATAATCCATCAAGACCTCCCCCGCATGGCTCGAACTAGAGAAGGTAAGACGAGAAAGGAAGACTAAGGGATGGCGGGGGAGTGAAGCACGTGTTCTAGACCAATGGATGAGGTTTCTTATCCTTTTCTTGACCTTGTCTCAACAGATAGCCTGGGCAGAAAAGTTTAGAAATGACTGACGAACGCTACTGCAGGAAAGGAGAACAGTTGTGTGAATTTGACGGGCCTTGTATTTATGTTATGATTTCTCCGTGGTACCGAGCTACCTATATCGAATCTACTACGAGGATGTTGCATATTAGATGGGAAGAGCACGTATGCAGGGCTCTGAGGTCGGGTGATGGAAGGAATCATAGGCTACGTCGCTGGCTCCAACGCAGGCACTGGGCCAACTATGTAGCAATTCCAATTGCTTTTCCACCAGAACAAGAGATCAGGGAAGTAGAACAAAACTTGATTCTGAAATGGTCACCTGTCCTTAACTGTGTTAAGAAAAAGAAACGACAGTGTCGGAGGAAAGGGCGCAGGGAACGTAGGTCTTATCTCCGGAGTCGGACGAACTTGGTACACAAGGATTTGCAGCATGGAAAAGTGATTAAATGGGATACTTCGTCCGTCTCTCTTCCTGTGCTTGGGCCACGACCCTCCTCCAAGGCCTCTTACTCTTTAGTCAGATTGTTTAATGAGTTTGTGGATGCTGATGTATCTCATGTCATAATCATTAGTCATAGAGGGGAATGGTTTTTTGACTCCTGGGGCAATCTGCGTCGAAAATTTGGTTGGTCCATTGTGGAATTTGAGGGAAAGAAATCTGTTATAAAAAACCTTAAACAAGAATTCTGTGTTGGAGGGACCTTCCATGTGGTAAGAATTCGGCGTCGACGTAGTCTCTCCCTCCTCAGACGTGACATACTAGCCACACTTTTGGAGGTACCCAGCACCAAGGTGGGACTACTTAAGACAGGGCTTCATCATTTGATAAGATTATATAATTCCATTGATCCATTCCACAGAGAATGCTCAAGGTCCACCTTAAAAGGAGTGGTAGGGCGAGCTTTGATGAAAGTCTGCGGTTTTCGTTGTCTTGCTCCTATTGTTATACGGATTATGTATGATGACCGCATTAGGAAATGCAGTGTTTACGATTTGGCCAAATCTATTGTTCGGCGACGTTGTCTGGACAGCCTCTTAGTTGATTTCATCATCTCTAGAATGAAGATTGTGTGGACTAGTAACAAGTCGGTTGTTGACAGACTACATAATCACAGACGAACCGAGAATTTGGATTTCTGCTCTTGCCAACACGTGCGTGAGGATTTTCCACGAGATTCCGATGGTCATGTAACTTTTCGGTTTTTTGAAATGAACGCGATACCAGCCTCTTTGAGGAATGCCAACAACATTCTACATCCTAGGATCTCAGTCTCTGTTGGGAAGCTAAAAAGAGCTCTGCACGACGGTCTAGTATCGATTCCAAGTAAGGATGATTGGGTAGGTGGGTATAGTACCCTCCAATCTTGTTTTGCGAAGCTGTCCTTGGCCAGCTCGACCGATGATAGTGTTTTGGATTTTTGGGAAGATTCTCTGAGTAACTTGGTGGTCTCCCCTATCGATCACAATATAGGGGACTCCTTTGTTTGTTGTTCGACAATTTATCACAGGGCGCTTATGGGGCTGTATTGGGGTAACAATGGTTTTGTGATTGAACAGCGTTCGGAGGAAGAGATTTTGAATGTGTGTCGAGAGGAGTACCACGGTATCCGAGCTTATGAGTTGGCCCGCTGGAATAAGAAAGACAAATTGGGGAATGTGTATGGGAACCCGAAACATAAAGATGTGACTAGATGGAGGCCTATAGCATCCTTTTTCGCTGAACTAAGTGTCTTGGCCTGCAAACTGATAGCCACGGCAATAAATGGGATGCTATGGAGAATTCAAGATTCCAGCCATTTCAACCTTAAAAGCACCAGCCTACTCAAGACGCGAGTTGATAATCTGAACCGAAAATTGGGGAGGATGACAGATGGTATTCTGCTTTCATCCTGCTTTGATATTAAAGAGATGTTCACTAAGCTACCTCATGACGACATCATCCAGACTGTGGAATGATTATGCGATTACTTCATGGCCAAGGGACACAATGCAGTACGCGTCAACAGACGCGGGAAAGGGATAGTCTTTGGAAAGGGTCATGGTGAGATAGGTTGGGTAAGGATTAAGTTTCGTGTTCTAATTGACTTCGTCCATTTTGACCTCAACAACTCTTTCTCTAAAGTCGCTTCCTTTATCATTCGGCAGGTTGTAAGCATTCCTTTGGGGAAAAGCTCCAGCCCTTCTCTCGCTTGTCTGCTGTGTGCACACCAAGAAGTCTGTTTTCTTAACTCCCTGAGGAAGGACAGACGTTTAGTCGATGGTTTACGACTGGTTGACGATGTGGCTCTTTTTCTCCTCCTCCCAAAATCGTCTCATACATACCTAAACAGAGCTAGAGGAATCTTCTTAAAGTTTAGCTCCATCTATAACCATCATCTTACATTGGTGAGGAATGATGATCGCATTAGAGAATTCGATTTTCTGGGTTGCCGAATTCTCACAGAAGCTTGCCCCCCGGTCGTACGCTGCGAGGCCAGATTGAAGAACCAGAAGGATATTTGGGACAAGGGGGCTATCACTTTCCAGTCTACACAAGACTTCTGGTCATACAGGCCCAAGGCTTAGAAGATAGGTGTGATTAAGTGCCACCTCAACAGGATTCTGACCCACTCCTCCGATTCTAGAGGAGCGGGTCCATGCCTACTAGCATTAAGGCAAGAACTTAGATTGAAGGGTTTTCCAAGACATTTATTCCTTAAGGCACTCACTGATTTTTCAACCGACCATGAAGGGTGTTGGGATAAATGGGTATTATTTTTTTCTGAAGGTTTGGAGGTCAAACGTGGTTTTAATAGGTCTCGGTAGGCAGTCTGTAAGATATTTGAGTATATCTTGTTCTGTGGGAGTGCCTGACAGGAGGGGTACGTTCTCATCTGAAGACCATGCAGGAGTGTTTAGGCCTTCCTACGAGTATTCTGTTCTGGCCTCGGGCGCTGGTTCCACGTCTCTTTGTCCTTTTCGACGGGGCAGTGGTAGAAGTCTCTTCTAAGCCAAAACATCATCTGCTGCTCTATCCGGCTGACAGATTTGTTGACGACACCATACTGAGTACAGCGAACACGAGGTCTGAGGTGGGTCGCGTCGACATTTACTCAACATCGGCGTGAACCTGCCCGTATCCAGGCATTGCTGCATTCTTCTCCATTCTGAATCTTTTGTCCTCCTACTCGACGACCCATTCTCTATACCCTTGTTGCCGGATCTTCCCGTTTTCTCTGACCCCTGCCCTCGATGACGAGGATTCCCCTCCCATCATCCTTCCCGCTCTCCCATACCATCTCATGATCTGTTTTCTGTCTGACCTACGTCTTTTCTCCCCTCCTCCCTATCCATGCGGCTGGATCTTTTCTCCCCTCCTCCCTATCCATGCGGTTGGATCTCCCCATCTTTTCAAAATCCTCTGTTTTTCTCTCTGCTATTCCAGGGTTTCCCGCCTTCCGTGCTGTCTCCTGATCTAGTCTCATCACCAACCGGTATGGCGCATGCCGTCGCGAGGATGTGTGGAGTACACATCCAAAGGAGAAGGCTCTTCTCAGAATGTCTTCTTCGAGTATTTATACCAGTAGGACCAGTAGCTTCGCAAGCGCAACGATCCCCTGATGATGGCCACTTCAGGGAGGTGGCCGAAACATGTCGGGACTATCGCCATCCTCACTTCTTGTTGATCTTTGTATACATTTTTCGGAAGCGAGTCATTATTCTGCGCTATGCGCTTGTTTTGTGTCGTGTTTTCTCCATCTCTGACCTTTTCTTCTACATATAGCTCTACCTTGTATCTGTGTCGTGAGATACCGACGTCTTGAGTTCCTTACCTGCACGCACTTGTTTGAGCCTTGCGCTCAACTGTCGCGGCTGAAGCATTGTCGATTCATCGTCTTGATTGTTTCCTTATTACACAACGAAAAAAATAAAAAAATTATGTAAAAATCAAGAATACAAAGAACTGCCAACCAAAAATCCCCCCCCCAAACAAACCTTTTTTAAAAATTTATTTTCCAATTTCTCTTCTCAACCTTTTATGTTTTTTTTTTTATATAATTCTTTAACATGATCTTTTTCCAAAAAACAAGAAATGGGGTTGCAGGGCTTAAAAAATCCCTACAACCCCATATATGTATATATCATCAAATAGAACTGTCCGGTAAACCGTAGGCAGAGAGGGAGAAGAGGAAAACAAACGAGGGGCTGTGACAAACTGTTTCGTCGGAGTTTCACCGACTCATCAGGAGGCTGAACCCTCAACAGTCTGTAGAATCCCCTCACTGATCACACTGTAAGTGATAATC